AACCTGAGCTTTAGAAATCTGCTGAGCACAAATCAGGTCAACAATGTCCTTAAGCTGCAAAAGTAACTGCCACACATCATCTTGGGGGTCATGCACTTTATCACCAATTATCAGGGGCAGCAGTTTCAGGAAATTCCAATTTTGGACAGCATGTCCACTCAGTTTGAGTGTTTGAGGGCTTACCTCACAAGGTTTGGAAGAAGCATCTGTTGCTTTGTATTTGAACTGCTTGATTCGCCTGTTCAAAAGTGCGTATGTAAACCATTTCTTCTTTTTGATAAAGTAATTGAGGTACATAGCAACATCATAGGAGAGGACACCCTCAAAAATGTCATGTCCCAGACAGGGGGGCATGCCAGGTGAACAAACATCAAAGTTTTGCAGAGTATTAAATACTGACTTAAACTTAATACCTCGTACGTGTGGCACGTCCCCTGACTCCAGCTGTTCAATGGCGGATTGGTAGGTTTCTGGAGTCCGCTCCTGTCCACAGAAGTTAGGATCAGCACCCTGAAATTCAGTTCGAGTAATCAGACAATATCTGCAGAAGTACTCAGATGAACTAAAATTTTCCGTAAACCCGCCAATGGTGTGAGAACCCAGGTTTGTCTCCAGCAATACAGTACAGAGATCCCTTTAAAACTTCATCTCCCACTGTTATCCCATTTTCCTCAAGTTCTTTTAAATCAGAGAGCAGTTCAGAAAAAACCTGTGCATGGCCAAAGTCCTTGAAATCCTTCTCTCTACACAATAAAACCAGCTGCATGTGGTCAACATTTGATCGTACATGAGGGGGCATGTTAAGGAGAGAGAAGTAAACAGCCAAAACCTTATGCTTCTTTTTAGGAGAGCCTAACGGGTTAACAACTTCAAATGCGTCCTGGTATAAAACCAGCTTCAGACAGCTTGGGTTTTCCTGAAAAAATCTGTTTGACATCAGCACTTTGCCATCATAACAGTCAGAGAGAACATCTGATTTGGAAACACTAACATGATCCACTGACATAAGGCCCTGCCAAAAACCGGACTCCTGAATGCTCTTTAACGTTTTTAGCAAAGGAATGTATAGGCACACCTCTCCACCCTATTCTCATCTCTGCCCAAAATTATTTTTTTGGGATCCACATATTTGAACATGTCTTTGAAGCACTGAGTTCGTGAGTACGGCGTTCTCATAGGCCCTGTGTGGCAAGCTGTGAACAGATCAGATTCTTTTATTGTATTGCTGATTTTTACAATATCGTCATCTGAAACAGACATATCTTTCAGAAGCAAGTTTAGACTATTAAAAGTATAGGACTGTCCTAGGTCATGTATATTTTGCATTTCTTCAACAATGCTTTGAATGGTAGATACTGGAAGGAGATGTTGTCCCTGTAGTTTCATATAAAACATGCATATATTTCTCAGATACAGGTCACTAAAATTTGACCCATCCCCTACAGTGTCTTCTGCATCGGACACACAAGCCGGTTCCAGCATTGTAGCAGTGGAGCTGGCACAGTGTGTATCGATTGAAGCACATGTCACATTTTCTGACCATTGTCGGTGCTTTCTGGACATGTGAGAGGTAAAAGACGATTTTCCTGTGAACACGTGTTTGCATTCACTTACTGGGCACACTACTTGGCGCCCTTCTGCAATGTGCTCCTTTAAGTGAGCAATCATGGATTTAGTTCCCTCACACTGACGGTCACAAAGTGAGACAGTGCATTTTAATGATGTCACGGCCACATTTTGAATAATGTTGACGGTTTGTGTACTGTTGTGGTGGCGATAAAAGTGCGACTTTAAAGCTGTATAGCCTGAAAACCCCTGCTTACAACTTGTAGCTACACATTTAAAAATAATTCGGGGTTCATTGCGGTGCAATCTGCAATGCAGGACATATGCTTTAACAGACTTAACATTTTCTCCACATATGGTACAAGAATACATCTTCCGTAAAATAGGCTCCACTAGTGATGGGACATAAGGCCGTTCACTTTTTATGCTCCTGTAGCCGCCTCTTCCCTCACGGACCCCGAGCACCTTTTCTCTTCTGTGGCCCGGGAGAGTGCTGGCGCTAGTGGGAGCGTTCGGGCACTCTCTCGCCTTTTCCTCTGCTTCCCCGCACGCAGTGCTAACTCCCCACGGCCGTTCGTTCACAAACTGTCCCTCTACCACTCCTCTCTCCGCCCCACTCCAACAGTGACTTTTTTTCGCTAAATAAACATGCACAACTAAAGTGATGCCCCTTCCCCATAGATGAATCAAATATATATCGTTTACTGTAAGGACAAAAGAGCCGGATCTTTCACGACCGAACCATATGCTCTTAACCCACACGAACTGCGTGATTAGCTAACCAGGGACTTCGTTTAGCTATATCCAAAAACAGTCAGACAAGTTTAAAGGTTGCACATAATACACGCTTCACGTAACCACATAAGCATGTATTACACTGTCCAGGTCTGTACCAGCAGTAAAACTCTAATGAAGTTAGCCGTAAAGCTACAATAGTATTAGCTAGTGTGCTAGTGCAACCCTCTTGACAGACCTAGAATTTCCATTTACTTACCGATCACTTCGAATATTCCGCTTCTGGCTGAGGTGGTCAATCCATGAAATCCAGCTCGACGATAAAGCACCTCGGTGAACAATGACGACGAATAAAACAAGCAAGTGCCGGTCTGAAGAAGTTTTGTTTTACGCGGTGACGAGAGCAGACGTTAGTCCTCTGGTGAAAGTAGCACGGGTCACATACAGCACACTGATTGGCCGGTTTGAAATTCAAAGCATTGAAAATCAGTAACTTCTATGTCAAGGCAGTACGGGTGCGCGCGCTTACTGAAGGGAGACAGATTAAAGTTGGATCTAGACAAACAATATATTATTTTAAAAAAGTATAAACTAAACAGTTTATTTTTTACAGGTTGTACAAGCAGAGCACACAGTCAGTCGGTGTTTCTATAAACAATGTACAATTTTGAAACAGGAATCATACTGTAATTTCAAGATGCTTTGAAAGTTTGGAGAAGGTGTTTTTTTTTCTTTTCTTTTGAATAGACCATACTGTAAGCTTTGGAAAATAGACCACATCTAAATTGTATAACTTAGCCTGTTAATAAACAAACAAGAATTATTTATTTAAAAATTAAAGGAAGCCTTTTGCATTTTCACGAAAAAGAGCTTTTGTGAATTAGCCTAATTCATTGTCCCCTAGGCCTACATAATATATATTATAATAATTCATCATAATAACATTCTGTTTAATATTTTTCACTGTAAATTTTAAAGTACACATCTGCATATCTTTTGATTTTAAGATAATTACCATTTATTGATTTAACGGTATTTACCAATTAATTCAACAAGTTTTTTTATTTTCACTGAAAAAAAACAGCGTTTTCTACATAGTAGCACTTTAAAAATCAAAGTTATACAATGTTTCTTAATTTACAGTTATTTACTGTATTTTCCATGGCAATATACTATATTCGGTTTTACAGCCTTCGACTGTTGCAATTTGACAGTGTTTTACCGTAAATTCTACAGATTTTTTTTACAGTGTATATTTTACTTTTTGCAGTAGTAGTGGTCATTTATTTCCGTTAACATCAACATAATTCATAAACGTTCTTGTTTATAATGCAAACCATGGTTCTTACTGAAATGGTTGAGGCCGAAGCGGATTCACTTATTTTTGCCTAAACCTTTTTACAAATCAAATCAAGTTTTGCCATGTCTTTTAGAGTTGTGTAACTTAGTCTTTTTTATTTGTACAAAAACAGTGCGCGTTTTCCCGACCTAATAATAAATACAAAAAAGGTTGAGAAACTATTCTTTCACAAAAACGCGCTCGCCCTTGACACATCAACCTTGAACATAATGGCACCTTCTCTGTCAGAAAGAAAGAGGACGCCCACAATACTATACATGTATTTGGACAAACACAATATACAGTATATGAGATAAATGGGTACATACAAAACCTATCCCACGAGGGCCTACACAATTCACAGGAAATAATAACTTTACAAGGTCGTGGTGGAAGTGTGCAGTGCTGTTGTAGGAAACTGATGTGTTATGATAATGGCCAATTCTGTTTTCACAAATAAACAAGATGCTTTGAAAGACTTTTTTTAATATCATGTGACCCCCGATGCAGTGTGACCGCAGACCCCAAGACAGACAAGGGAAAAGAGTCAACACTATGTAGCCTATAAACTTAAAAAAAACTTGATATATATAATGTTGCCCACTGTTTTTTGGATTAAATGTTTGTCCTTATTGTAAAACCCAGGCTAGTTGTGGCTTATTTGACTATTTTTTCATATGCGATTTGTTTGCAATAGTGATTGCCAATATACTCACTTAATAATTATTTATGACATCATTTAGCTTTAGACCTCTTTCTGAGTTCTATTAGTTCTGCAAATAAGGTGTACAATATTTATGATGAGATGGCAAGGACTATTTCACTCAATAACCCACATAACCCCACCAGGCTGAAATATCTCTTCCAGACAGACAACAGACCACAAATGCACATCAAGATAATCTTTACTTTCAGTCAATTGTGCAGTTTTTTAAGAGCTTGGAACATTTCTATTTAGATTTTTATTGTTTATTGTTTGGCAAATGGATGTGACCACTGGACATTATTATCTCACAATATCACATTTATTTATATATATACTGTACTGCGGCGACCACTGTACTACCACTGCTCCTGACAGAGGCCCAAGTGGCATCAGGATGGGTCAAAGTTCCCTATGGAGATAAACAAAGTGCACATTTACATATGGCATTTCAGACAGATTACAGACATAAACAAATAGGTTCTTTTATGCAACCTATATAAATAGATCCACATTTTGAAAATGTCTTTATTGTTATATTCCCTTTATCGGTATATTCACAGCTTGCACATTTCAGCGGAGCCCCAGTGTTTCTCTGGTAAAGGTCACTGAAAGATAATATCATTCTGAAACTCTGTTGTGGTGTCTCCTCTGCAGGTCTGGCCCGGGCCAAGTCAGTCCCCAGCCACACGTACTCCAATGAGGTGGTGACCCTGTGGTACCGGCCCCCTGACGTCCTGCTGGGCTCCACCGACTACTCCACCTGCCTGGACATGTGGTAAGCACCCACCCCCACCCAGCCCCTGACCCATATCACCTCAAACTCATTCCTATGCAGCTCGTGTCAAGTCTATTGCATGTTCTTCCCTTAACTGTGGAATATAGACGTGGACAAAGCTGCTACCAACTGTGTGCCAAGGAGGAAGTGATTACGGCTGTAATTTAGTGGGGGAAAACGGGAAATTGAAAGCAAATGTGTTTAGAAATAGGCAGTGGCGAACATTTTGACAGAGTGATGAAAAGTAGCTTTCTATTATGTTTAATGATAATGGGCCAATTCTGTTGTTGCAAACAAACAAGATACTTTGAAAGACTTTAAAATATTGAAGGAATTCCAATGTAGTGTATAAAAATGTGTGTAAAATAAATGTTTACTCATTTTATAATTGTATTTTCTTATTTGACTAATTCTTCATATTTGCCAATCGACATAATTTAGTTTTAGACCACTATATTTCTTATATTAAAAGCAGTGAAAGTAGTAACATATTTGTGCAATCAAACACATGACTCACTCGTCACATATTATATGCCAAGGTAAATCTTAATATTTACAGTCTATGCATAAAACACATTTGCCTGGGACAGAGTAATACATTTGTCCATTCATCCTGTTCAAATATTGTTTAATGTCAAAATGCATAACAAGTTTATAATATCTCCTTTCTCTCAATATCTATTTGTTTCTAATTCTTTTTCCTTTCTTTACTGTACTGTATTCATCTCACTGCTTATCCATTGTTTTCACTGTATAGTTATTGACAGTCAGGGAGCAATCCTTTTCTCTCAAGGGGGTCCTGGTGGAGAACTTACATTTTAGAGTTGACAAAAAGCAATTAAAAGTTATCAAGAGTTGTCTCAGTCTCCGTCTCTCGCCTGCTGAACCACTCTTTGTGATATATTTGCAAGTTGGACTTCAGACACATTTCTTTTACTGTTTGATGTATTAAGTAAACAACTTACAATATCTGCAAAACTATGAACCTGTTATCTGTTGTGAGCTACGATGTGGACAAGCTCGTCATTAATGATTGTATATCACTGCGTAACAATGCTGAGGTCTGTAGCAATACTGGCTACTATGCAAAACCTACATAATATTAAAGAGTAATAGAATATAGGATAGAAATTCTTTATTGTCAACTGAGGCAGAAATTCATCTTTGGCCCGGATCACATAAAATCACAAAAAACTGAAGAAAGACTTTCAAAAATGCGGTCCTAATAGAATACAATAAAAAATACTATTCATTATGTGAAGAATGCATACTTTCACTTCTGTAGCTCTTGTGATCATGTGTGTGTAAATTTATCCCGTGTGAGATCAATAAAGTCTATCTTATCTTATTCATGACATGACTAAAAGAGAAGCAACAATTTATTTCTGAAACACAGACTTTCAGGCCATCGGTATTCGTTATATATCGTCTCCAAAAGGGAAAGAGCTCAAGTTGTGGGTTCAGAGGATGGGATGGGTTCGATACTATACTGAAATCTGCTAGTGCTTCCTCGACTTCTACAACTACTGCTGCTGCTACGGCTACAACCAACTTTACAACTACTGCATGTGCATGTTCCACTCTCATCCACTCATAGAGCAACGTAGGCAGAATAGCACTGATGGCTTTTAAACACTTGCAAATTCCCCTAAAATGGGTCAGTTATATTCTCATTTTAAATATTACCTTGTCAAGTGCACTGTGGTGACCTGTCCCGACTGGGCCTGGGCCGGCAGCTGCAGAGGGACGTCCCGAGTGCCCCAGCTGTGCTATCTATCTTCCAATTAAAGAACAGACAGCCCCAGCCTCCCCAGAGAGCAGCGGGATACTGTGTCTGCTCCAAGGGTATTTCCAGGTGGATAAATGGAGGGAGGGCCAGTTATGCCTTGGTGTATGCCCCCCCAGTGACACCCAGACCCTGGTCACTTTACGAAGCAGTTGTCCGTGACGGAGTAGCTCATGTGGGACGAAAGGTTTTGGTGGAGGTGGCTTCCTGTCCCGCGTAGCATCCATCAAACCAGCACATAGGATACAAGCCACTGTCTCTGCAGTGATGTGGACAAGGGCTGTGGATGGAAGATACAGATTGGGCTATTTTTGTCTTTAACCCTCTATGCACATGGGTCATTTTGGGGAACTTTCCTCGCCTGGTTTTCTTTGTGTATAATTGTTCATAAAACAGTCATCTTTTGATGCAGAGTCAAGCAGTATACTTTGTTTTTTTCAGTACAACCTGGGGTTTTAGAATATTCATATTGTAAAGCTGTCATATGAATTATATAAAAATGATGGAATCATAAAGACAAAGAAAAAAAATCAAACGGAAAATCAATTTAACAAAAATGTATTGAAAAAACACAATGAAATGCTATAAACAACTTTTTACACTGCATAGAAATGTTATTTATGGTCTTGGGGATAATGGGGAAAAAAATTGAATTTCTAACTATTATACTTTTTACAAAATTCCACTATAAAAGCAAAACACTCTGTACTCCTGATGCCCTTCCTGAAGCAGTTTGTCTATAATGCTGGGGTTGCTTCTGTAGTACCGCTGTAAAAAACGTAAAACATAAAAAACTGAGCCAAAAAAAAAAAAAACATCAATTATTTATATAATACATATATTTATATACATCATATACACATAATGTCATTTTACTGTATTTATTATTGTCTTTATCAATAAGCGCACTCTTCAGCCGGTTATTGCAATCGCAGCTGTAGTTTCAACTGTGGGAGAACAAGGAAACGCAGAGGAGTGAGAGATCGCACTCTCTGACGATCTTTGGCAGTCCCCGTGTGTTTGTATCTCACAGCTGTTTGTAACTCACGGGTCACGCTTTGGACACGGACTTCAGACAAACGTAGTTTATCCTCCGTGCATCGCACAGACAAATCAAAACTAGTTTTGGAAAGCCCTGAATACGTACTTCACAGAGAAAAAAAAAGTAAGTTGCTACGTTTTACCGTTCGCGAGTAAATTGATCATTTGTAAAACATGTGCGCGTGCATCGGCGCCGATGCACGCGGGCATATAGGGTTAAATGAAAGCAATTCATGTTTGTCGGTTTGTTTAAAAAGTACAGAAATCATTTGTATCACAAATTCTCAAAGATTCCTTATTCAATCACACAAAGAATAATATTGATATTTGGCTCTTTGTTTAGTCTAGTTCTACTAGGGTTGTTCTCGTTCTAGTCTGACTTAGTTCTGGGTTTAGTTATTAATATGTCTTTGACTTTTAATGTTCATGAGAATGATTCATAGGATCTCACCATATTGTCTCTTCTGATACGGCATTCCTGGGTTATCCCACTTCCCTGCTCTTTCCTATTTCAAATTCTTACAATAAAAAAACATAAAAAGTTGGAAAAGAACCAATGATGGAGACATTGTCTGAAAACTCATTATATGGACCCATCGGTATTCAAAACAAATACATGGAGGTATATTCATACACACACTGTTTTACAGTAGAGTCATATTGTCAAACCTCTGCTGTGTTGGGGACAGGGATTTTGATGGAAGACACAGAATCAGTCTGTATTTTCCCATGTTCCGGTCCTTGCTACCGGCTGGCACTCCTCTAAACACTTGTCAATCACAGCTCCACTCTCCTGCGAAGCAGATCATGCTGCGACAGAGATGTCATCACTGAGGCCTGGAGAGATGTATTCTGAAATGGCCGCACTATCAAAACACCAGCAATACAATATATACTCTGTGTTCTGATATCGCCTGCTTTTAAATTGATCGGACCAACAGTGTGCTGCAGGAAAGAGTGGAATTGTGTTCTATCAATTTAAAGTGCAGTGGCCTTGGTCTATACCTGTTTGGTGTATTGAGAATTGTGTGCATGCAACTACTCATGGGTTTCAGATGCAAAACCTAAATACACATTGAATACAGACCTATATTTATGTTGGAAATATTAAAACTTCACCAGCACGTTGACACCGTGGATATCACTTGTGTTTCACAGTGAAAAGGTCCTGGGTTTGATTCCACCTCCAGGACCATACGTGAGAGTTTAAATAATCTATACCCTTTTTTTTTATGAGTTCATAAAAATGCTTATTATTACATACAAGTTGTATTATTATCTGTGATTTAATTGAAAACTTGAGCTCATTGATTCAGCTTGTGTATGAATTCAGGCCGTAAAACGTGCTGAGTAGAGACTTAGCGTGACGCCCGCTCTCCTCCAATCACAGAACGAGGCAGCGTCCTCTAGCCTCGACAGTGCTGCTGGTAAACATTCAAACCTTACAGAAACTGGTATAGCTCCTTTAATGTGTGAGTGTGACTGTGACTATGGGACTACAGATGCAAATTAGCTACAATCTGGTGTGTTTACAGTTCCTGCTGTTCATGAATACACACTGCCCCATCCCAATCAACAAACAAATACTAAAAATGCATTCATTCTTTTGAGGGTGCATACATATGTGTACTCCTGACTTTTGTTTTTGTAACTGAATCTGAACAAAAGACCACAACAGTAGTCATTTGTTGTTGTAATATGACATGGCTATTGTCAAGTTTTTTCTGTCATGTTTTTTCCTAAGTAGTCATGTAACAGTCACGGGATTTGTCTCATTAATACCACCTTTGATCATTTTTATTAAGACCACTGTGACCACACTTCTTGCCCTAATAAAGACCTGAGATTTGTTGCCATGTCCTGATAGGGAAAAAAAGGGATTTTAATTTAAAATCAGAGTGCTTTGGACCTTTTCCTCTTTGTTCTTCATGAATACGTTGTTGTAGCTCTTTTTACTGCACCAAATGCAACATGGATATAGTCTTTATTCACGTTGTCAATTGTCAAAAGCAGATCCCACTTTTTATTTGTGGTAAAACGCTGTTGTTCTGAATGTTAAAATTGTCAGAGCTGTATTTAAATTCATGGTTTGACTGCAAATTCAAGAATGGCCTGCACAGGTGTGACGAACAAGGCCTGACAGCTGTCCTCATTAGGCTTCGTTTGGGTGAAGTACTGGCACGTGCCATAATTGGATACGTTAAAAAGTCACTTCAACACTGCTACAACCGTACGATCTATTATTCTACTCACATTGTAAGGTTGCCACAGATCTAAATTACCAGGTCTGGATTTACAACACTGGCAATGTTATTTTTGTGATCAGACATAACAACATTGGACCTGTGGCTGTTTCCAGACGGCTCAATGCTAAACACAACATGAAAAGTGAAGTACTATTAGCATAATACCCATTAGCTCTTGTTAGCTTTATGGAATTGATTCTCTAACAGACTCATTGAGGATGCTAATTGGTAAGCTAATCAAGTCTACTAATTAGTGTATTTGTCATTATGTAAATAGGAGATGACTGCTATATGATGGGATTCCAAACAGAATGAGCAACACTATGCTTCCAAACATCATGTGTGTGTGGATAGTTCATATTTACTTGGGGAATTATTATTTCCATCATTTTGTTGGCTATTACTTCTTCTAATATATAAAAGCTAATGCAACATATGGAAATTGTGGCTGATGATCCAGTAAAATGTTGTGTTGTTTTCCCAAAGACTGAAACCCTACAAGCTAGCACATATATTGTTGTTGAAATGTGATATATTCGTAGTTTTGAAAATAATGGAAGATTAGAATCTTTGCATTGTTATTGTCAATTCAATCAAACAAAAAAGCCCATCTTTCGAATGAGAAATAGTCCTCACAATATTGCATGATTCAGGAAGGCATATTATTAAGGCTTGCAGTGTTTCAATTCAATTTCAATTTCCATATATTTGTGTATGGCCCTAAATCACAATAGCAGTTGTCTCTGAGGACTTAACAAAGTGGTCTATTCACCAACAACAGATCAGAGAATCAAACACCCCGAGGCACAGGAAATATAATTATAACAAACACATAGAAGCCATTGGTGCATAGGAAGCGGGGAGACCAATGTCCATAAATGTTAGTAAAAGTGCATAAATGTCCTTAACAGTCCCAATCCTCACTGTCCTTAGAGTCTCCTGCATCGACAAAGAATAAAAAATAACTCAATAAATAAAACTGCTACTATTCCTCATGCAAGTGCCTGTTTCTTCTCCACATACATTTAAATACAAACCACCACTGCATGTTTAAGTGGTTACTCTACCCTTCCAACCCTTCCACACCATACAGCAGGAGACACATCAGCCCCTCTGGACATAACCCATTCATCGTACATAACAATCACGTGCACATCTGTCAATGCACGCTGCCCCACGGCCACACGGACAGCAGAGAACAATGTAGAATGGCTCTGAAGGTTGTGTCAGGAAGATTAAGATGTATTTCATCAACTGGGTGGAGCTGGGAAGTGGGTCACTATGGATCGTACGTTCAAAGATTATTGTGAATGTGTCCAACTGGAAGACATTCAATAATACTCAGGTCCCATCAATGGTTTTTGTTATTCACTTTGTTAATGCAGCTTAAAAAGACATGTACACAATAATTGTTTTCTTCATTTCAACAGCACTTTGGAGAACATTCATGCTTTTGAAATAGAACACAGTTTGACCTACGATAGTCTGTTTTAATTTGTTCATCTTACTGAATTAGAAGCCAGAGTAACCAACCTTCAATCCACCAAAATGTAACTATGTAATACAATTCTACCTCGTCCCTCTTTCCAAAAAATAACTTGGGTCTATCTCTAGTTTTCACATGCATATATTTTTGTCCTTTTTCATTTTCTTTTTTCAAGCCTCACTATTTTGGGACAACATGAATTATTTATGAGAAAAAAAGTTAGGTGCATCAGCTTTTGTACAAGTCTCCATGGCCTCGCACCAAAGTACCTCCGTGATATGTTAGTGCCATATAAACCAGAGTAGCCTTTGAGGAGCCCAGGGACTGGCCTCTTGCTGGTGCCCATAGTCGGGTCTAAATATGGGGAGGCAGCATTTCAGATTTCCTGAAAATATGAGACGGTCAATGTTCAAATCTAGTTCAAATAAACAGTTTTGTTTAGCTGTGCATACAACTGAAGGATTATATCTTCACTCTTTTTAATGCACTGTGATTATTTATGATTTGTATGCTGTGTATTATGAAGCACTTTGTGTTGCCTTGTATATGAAGTCTGTGACACCTTTGCAAGCGTTTAAAACATTGAATACAAACGAAATTCAGCATGACATTAAGTCTTTCCTAAACTTGTAAATAAACAATAGTATTTAAGGAGGATTTGTCCCCAACACTAGCCTCAGTGTTTACCTGTCGGCCGCGGCCCAAAGCACAGCTTCAGACAGCTTCGTATCTTGTACTCTCTGCTGCAGTATTTGTACCTCTGTGAGCAGCACAGCTGGTCAGGAGACTGTTTCAGTATTAGATCACTTTTAAGGCCTTCACACTTTCTAATTACAGTAACAGCAGTGATTCAGGTGCTCACGCTGGTCGTTTAGACACATTTACATCCCAGAGCAGCCGCCAGCACACTAAACGAACTGGTTTAATTACAAACCGAAAGACAATTTTGTTAGACCACCATTTTTTATAAAGTCATTTTAGATTCATTAGGACGGCCATAATGACGATTACTTCAGGAGGGAGGATGGAGTGTGTCTAAACACTTTTTTTCTTTGTACTTACTTAAACTATAACCAACTTGAGTCAATACAATGTCGACTCAATGTTATATCTTATGTTTCAGTTGTGTCCTTTGGAGACAAGCGAGAGACTCGACCAAAAGAATATGTTGTTGATAAAAACAGATGTAGAGCAGAATACAGGAAAGAAATTAGATTTGTGTCAACCTGTTCTGCCATACAATCCTGACTTTACAAGATAATATTAACCCATTAGGCACCAAAGCAACATAAACTCTTGAAACCAGAACACTTTCTATACAGCGACCTGGCTTCCAACAAACAAACCCTAAATGTTTCAATCCAATCCACTTTATTTATATAGCACATTTTTCAGTTTCCAATGTGCTGCAGAGAGACCAAAGTAACACATTGAAACAATGCAACAAGTCTGCCAGGTTTATAAAATCAAATAACCGATAAAAAATAAATAAAAACAATGCAAATATTTAAGAACATTAATGTACCAAAAATGAATACATATATAAGACAAAACATAAAATATGAGTTAAATTAAACACAGAGGACTCCACAACGTATGTAGTGTTAAAAATAAAAGTGGATTTTCAGACGAGACTAAAAGGTTCCAGTCAGGGAGCCGTTTTGTTCATTTTTTTTTTTTATTTCTGTTATTAATGTTTCTAGTCCTGTATCTCCTATACCATTAAGGGACTCCATGTATTGTCTGTGTCACATTCACGTTCTGAAAAAACCTGCTAAAGAGTCAATTATAATCACTGGAAAGATGAGTAAGTGTTTGAGGTGAGGTAACTATAATATTAGTCCATACTGTTTACTCTCTTTTTCTCCGCCCTTAGTCTATGTCATCATTCCAAAGCCAAACTTTTCCTTTCGCTACACCCTGCATCTCTTTCTCCTTCAAACTGTAAAAGGCAGAGAAACGGTCTCTGAGAACAGACAGAGGTCGCCCCCTGCATGCGAGCGCTGCGATGAATGTGACCCCTGTCTAAGCCAATATTCACAGCTCAGCTAAAGAAGCCTTCTGCATGCTCCACCAGCCACGCCGGGGTTACTGCTGTGTCAAGACAGATGGCCGATTTTCTCCTCTTATATAGCTGTGTTGAAATAATGGAATGAAATAAGAAATTGGGAGGTTTTCTTTTTTTTTTTTTTTTTCTCGTTTTTTTTTTTTTTTTGAGGAATGACTTTGTGGTCATTTCTCCTTGAATGGCTGGTGTTTCTTGGTGTTGCAGAGAGAGTGCAGTGGAGCAGAAACAGGGTGTCACTGAAGAATCGGCTGGTTGACAAATGAGCTCTGACACAGTTTACACACAAACCCTCGCACACGAATCTGGACTATATCTGTCCTCCCTCTGCAAATATCTCACACTAACAGCGTCTTACAGCGGCTATACACTGTGATGGCTTTAATAGAAACAGGGATGCACTCGCTTCCTCTGTTTACTCGAGTAGTTGTGGGGTTTTTTTTCTGGGAATTATATCTTCACCTATGTTGGCAACACATTTACAGAAATTTTCTATCATTCATGGCTGTATATTAGTTTGAAAGAATGGTTAACCGTACCTACAGTCATTTTTCAGTCAATTTTCTGTCGATTTTCAGCCCATAAACCATTACAAGTAACTTCATACTTATTTTGTTATTTAATATTTTTACAACAAACATTGCAATGAGGTTGGTTGTCCTTAGAGCATTTGATCCAATACTTGTGTTGTGTGTGCTGTGTGAGAAATACATACACATTGACTTCTTTTAATGAGATGTTCTGTATTAATACATAAATTTAGCTTTTATATAACAAGGTAACATAACAAGCTAACTATTGCATATATTTCTATATAATCAATTTGTCCTCTGTTTCCCAGGGGAGTTGGCTGCATTTTCATCGAAATGATCCAGGGAGTGGCTGCCTTTCCTGGGATGAAGGACATCCAGGACCAGCTGGAGAGGATATTCCTGGTGAGTCAAGGATGCTTTTTCTCTGACTGTGACTTTGTAATTAAGTTTGTAATTTACATGTGCCTTTAGCATCTTGCAAAACAACTCATTCCACTTCTTTGCTTTTCTGGGATTGGCATCATTTTCAAGCTTCACAATTGACTATAGACTGACTATATTTTCATGACTTGTTGAAGGTATTCCCACTCCACCTGGTCCCATCACACATGTGTCATTTTGTTTTTAATAAACATGTACTGACCCTCGCTCCCCTCGCACCTCTAGTTTCTTTCACATCAGACTGCTCCCATAAACCTGCTTCAACTCAGAGCACTTAGGAAGGATCAAACTGAATTTGCAGCATAAATGCACTGCACTACCCCCTGGGACATGTGAGCAAGGCAATCTACAAGAAGCTCCTCTCAAAACCATTTTATTCTCTGAAAAATGCCTTTGTCTGTGAAATAAAGGAAGTACAATGCGATTCTCCATTAGGTGATTACATACATGTCTGTGCGTTAGCCGGCAAAGGGGCATAAATATTTGAAGATAATGTACAGTACGGTTTGCTCATCTTTTAATGTGAAAATCTGTCATCTTTCTGTGGAATTTCCTCCACAATCTCCTAATTGAGGCAGTGCAAATTATGGTTAGTCATAATGGATTTAGATTCATAGGCTGAAGGGCTGAATAATTAATGTTGAAAATTACCGAGAAGAGGATAGAAAAGGCTTGGGTCAGGGAAGATGTCAAAAATAAGACAAAGAAGGCTGTTGCCGCCGCTTGGCTCTGAGCCCGAAGGCTTAAAGATATACATCTGAGAATGGAAGGATTTCCAGAGAAGAGAGAAAAGGTGGGACGAAGCCCGCAGGTAAAAGATTCTCTCCCAAAGCGTGAAATAAAAAAAAATGTCAGTAGATGAAGAGCCGGAGATGGAGGAAAACGCTTCTTATTGATTGTCTTTTTTGGCCCGGAGGCAGATTTCTTGCGCACATGTGTGAAAGCCAGACACAAAGACCACATGGATGGGACGAGCAAGAGGAGGAGAGAAAGACAAGGGGGTTCTATGTGGGGATAGCTGCTGGTGGGACACGCAGAGTACCCCCCCCCACAGACTGACCCCCCCCTCCTACACACACACAGACTGCCCCATTTCTTCCCTTTATAGTCCAAAAGATGCAGCCAGAATTCTGACTTGAGCATGATACCTGCCTGGACTCAGTATCACCACAGCACTTTTCACCGGGCGCCAGATAAAATATAAAGGGCCCAGGGGCAAAGTGAGATGAATAGGGATCTGTCAACAACAAAAATTGCTCCTCCATTTTGGTAAAAAGGAAGACAAAGAATAAAAATGGACAACAAATGGAGTCATAAATCTAAAGCCAAATAACTTCTGTATCTATATTCTTTTTTTACTGGAGCTATATGAGACCTGTATTATAAAACTTTTTACTGCATATCATAAAAAATACAGCACCGGGTATTCTAAGCAGCTATTACTTTTTGATGTAACTTCGTTTACAGTCAGAATTCAACTTGCATCAGATGTAGAGATTGAGTAAGGTCTATATAGTAGATACATTGTAGTTATAGCCATATCACTTGTTGATGAAGAGGAGAAAATGGTAAAGCTGAGGTTCTTTTGCAGCTGTGGTACAAAAAGGGGGTTCATTTTGAGAGGGTTTTGATATACTACAATTTGTTGTCTTCAGATATTAATACTTTTTTTCTCTGTATGCAAAAAAAAACATTACACCAGGTTTTATTTCAGTATTCAAAGTCTCGTCAAAGTAACCTCTGACAGATCCTTGGAGTGAAAAAAAAACACACTTTTTGTTTATCTCATCTGAAACATTCACTGCTCTGACAGATGGCCTGGACCTTTTCCTGTTCTCATTCCTCATGCCTCTGCCCCACTCCCAGTCTCTCCCGTTAGATCGTGCTAACCTGTCAAGCCCAAGCTCCAAACTCAGATGAATATGGAAATCGCAGCCTGGAGAAGTAGTGCGTGATCTCAGAATTAGCCTACCTGTCACAGAGAGCCTGATGTTGACATTTCCATCCATCCCAGCAGCTCTCCGCAGCCTCGGCCGTATGCCACGCGCCGTCTGCCAGGCTACACTTTGAAATGCCGCCGCTCCGTGTCTCATGAAGGGCATCATCAATGAATTATGTGCAGTCAGGAACTTCCTAAAGGCCGTGGAGCTTGAAGCAAAGGTCAGGCTCCGTCAGTGTTTGAGAGGCCCACTGCCAACTCCTGAGCTGGCACATCCCATGCACAGTAATGCCAGGGAATGACACACACTTTACTACTGCCAACTGTCAAGTGAAGGGTTTTTAAGTGAAAGAAATGTATGTGATGGCCTTACTTTCACTACTTTACTGATAGTAAGGCCAATGCCAATCCAATCCACTTTTAAGACTCATTTCAGAATTAAAGGCACACCGTGTAACTCTTGGCCACTAGGGGCGCTAGACCTGCAACTTTCACGTTTAGCGCCCCTAGTGGCCACAAGCAACTCAGCACTGTCGCAAAAGTCAACAAACAGTCAGCCGGTGTCTTTTGAGTGTGTATTCAGACAGCATGCACTGGTGTGTGTGTTCAAACTGTAGAGACATGCCTACAGATATTGAGAGACTCTGCTGTGGTCAGCCTCCAGACCGCTGCATTAGTAATCTACCACACATGGACTTCTATATCCTGGATGAGGGAGTTCTGCGTCTAGCTCGTGCTGCGTGGAATGACATCTTTGCGGTCGATGACATCCAGGAACCAGGTGAAGAGCAGCGCTCATACAGACATGCAGCTTACAGCACGATCCCTTTCGCGTTTCCTCTTTTTAGCCTCCTCCGAAGGTTTAAAATTTTTCCTTGCCTCAGCCATGACCAGGAGTCGAGCAGGTGAAAAATGAGTAGCAATAGCCTTAGCTCCATGAGTATATCAGCGCCTGTAGCCGTAAAGCAAGTCTTTCTTCCAAGTCACGTGACCTGGTGGCAGACGGTCCGTCTGCTCGAAACTTACATGGGCGGTATTTCAAGAGGGCAGCCCCGCTCGGAGCATTGCAAGTGTCAAGCGCTGTATATTGGCCCAAGTATTCATATAAAATAACTCATATGTGTCAACTCTTTAGGTCACAAAGTCCGCGGTGTGCCTTTAAGACTAAGAAATCTTCTGTTATAAATCTACATAAATTGTTGTATCTATGTAGCGCTTTTTTTGATACTCAAAGACGCTTAACAAGGACATGTTCTGAAACCAAACTAAATTTACGAAAGATATATAATACACAGTTGAGAGTAAGTAGTTTTGACCAGGTGGGTTTGAGTAGTGATTTAAAGTTCTGAAGTGAGTCCGAGTTCCTGATGTGTTGGGAGAGTGAGTTCCAGAGAGTGGGGGCAGCTGCAGAGAAGGACCGGTCCCCCTTGGTTCGGCACTTTGTTCTGAGGGGAGGGAGAAGGTTGGAGTCGGGGGGGTCTGAGGCGGCGGGAGGGAGAGTGCTGATGGAGGAGGGCCAGGTTGTGAAGGTTGAGTAGGTGACTCAAAAATTTCAATCAAATCCATCCATCCATCCATCCATTTTCTTCCGCTTCATCCGTTGCCGGGTCGCGGGGGCAGCAGTCTAAGCAGAGACGCCCAGACTTCCCTATCCACACACACCTCCTCCAGCTCGTCCGGGGGGACTCCAAGGCGTTCCCAGGCCAGCTGAGAGACATAGTCCCTCCAGCGTGTCCTGGGTCTTCCCCGGGGCCTCCTCCCGGTGGGACGTGCCCGGAACACCTCCCCAGGGAGGCGTCCAGGAGGCATCCGGAACAGATGCCCGAGCCACCTCAACTGGTTCCTCTCGACGTGGAGTAGCAGCGGCTCTACTCCGAGCTCCTCCCGTGTGACTGAGCTCCTCACCCTATCTCTAAGGGAGCGCCCAGCCACTCTGCGGAGGAAGCTCATTTCGACCGCTTGTATCCGCGATCTTATTCTTTCGGTCATTACCCAAAGCTTATGACCATAGGTGAGGGAGGGAACGAAGATTGACCGGTAAATTGAGAGCTTTGCCTTTCGGCTCAGCTCCCTCTTCACCACAACAGTCCGATACAGCGACCGCATCACTGCGCACGCTGCACCGATCCGCCTGTCAATCTCACGCTCCATCCTTCCCTCACTCGTGAACAAGACCCCGAGATACTTGAACTGCTCCACTTGAGGAAGGGCCTCTCCACCCACCTGAAGAGGGCAGGGCACCTTTTTCCGGTCGAGCACCATGTCCTCAGATTTGGAGGTGCTGATTCTCATCCCAGCCGCTTCACACTCGGCTGCAAACCGTCCCAGTGCATGTTGTAGGTCCTGGTTCGTTGGAGCCAACAGGACAACATCGTCTGCAAACAGCAGAGATGAAATCCTGTGGTCCCCGAACCGGACCCCCTCCGACCCTTGGCTGCGCCTAGAAATTCTGTCCATGAATACAGTGAACAGAACCGGTGACAAAGGGCAGCCCTGGCGGAGGCCAACGTGCACAGGGAACAGGTCTGACTTACTGCCGGCAATGCGCACGCAGCTCTGGCTCCGGTCATACAGGGACCGGACGGCCCTCAGCAGAGGACCCCGGACCCCGTACTCACGGAGGACCCCCCAAAGGACACCCCGGGGAACACGGTCGAACGCCTTCTCCAAATCCACAAAGCACATGTGGACAGGTTGGGCGAACTCCCGTGAACCCTCGAGTATCCGATGGAGAGTGTAGAGCTGGTCCAGTGTTCCACGGCCGGGACAAAAACCACACTGCTCCTCCTGAATCCGAGATTCGACCATCGGCCGTAACCTCCTCTCCATTACCTTGGAGTAAACCTTACCAGGGAGGCTGAGGAGTGTGATCCCACGATAATTGGAACACACCCTCCGGTCCCCCTTCTTGTAGAGAGGAACCACCACCCCGGTCTGCCACTCCATTGGCACCGCCCCCGATCGCCACGCGATGTTGCAGAGACGTGTCAGCCAAGACAGTCCTACAACATCCAGAGACTTT